TGGCAAAGCCGGAAAGTAAGTGTTGTATGTGTGTGTGTGTGTGTTATGTGAAAAATATCTGTGAATCGTTTCCATTACCATTACCGTTTCATATCAATTCGATCTGTGGTATTTGTAAGGTGCCAACAACAGCAACAGTCACAGCAAAATGGCTCCCACACAAAACACGCAAACACACAACCAAAACTGAACATATAAAATTGTGATAAAAGGTAAAATTAGTTAACATTTTTGAATGTTCCGTAATGATAATGCGATGAAAGTGGATTTTTGCACAGAAACATGTGTAAAGTGGTTTTATGAATTTCATATGTATTATAATAATAATCAGTATGGTTATGATGTACTCATTTATGGTGACTGAAGTCAATGGAGCAGATTCGATCTTTTGACGTTGTTTGAGCATTGAAAGTGTGATACTTTTATGCGCTAACATTCATTGCAAAGAAATGACAACGATTAAACGAAGTAATAAATTCACGAGCATATCATCCGCTTTTGTGTGCAGCGATGCCAGATTCAGACTGTGAAATGTGTCAATTTAATTCAATTTGATTCATATATTGCGCTCGATTAAATCTCGTTCTCAGTACGGTATTTGTAATGAATACGCGCACGAATTCGCGAACTCTTGTGGTGTTGTTGAAAGCCGAACAAGTGGAAAAAGCCACCAATTTAAAAACGAAATCGATTCCTATGCCACAACAAATAAACGCAACCCAAAAGCAATTGCTGATGTAATAAAATTGTATTATTACATTGCAATCATTTGAAATTGGTATTATCTCTCTTTTGTTCGATTTCTCTCTCTCTCTCTCACTCTCTCTCTCTCTCTCACTCTCTCTCTCTCTGTTTGGTTCAATAACCGTTTTATTCATTTAGTTTTTCTCATCACATCGATACATTATCGCTTCGGTCATTAATTATGTAAAATGTGCGCCAATTAAATGATCGATACATTCACGAAAAGCCAATTTACAGTCGAACATTACAAAGTAAAGGCAAAAGCGGATTTTCATTTTCAGTTGGCAATAATGAAACATTGATTTTCTCTCCCTCTCCATGTCTCTTCCACTCTCTCCATCCCTCTCATCTCTTTCTCCATGTGGTTCTATTCTCGCGATTTGATGTCCAGTGGCCATTTTGTTCAGTATTGCTTTTTTGAAATTGCACAGTAAACGAACTTCATTTCAAGTTTAAAATTCATATAAACAATTGAGCAATCCTTCTCTGGCAATCGACCATTGTCTAGCATTGTCTATCCGATTATATCGCGATTGAAAGAAGAAACTTGATATTACCAAAAATAATCGCGTATAAATTTTATCAACAAAATGAAAAGCGGGTTTGTGAAAGGATTAAGTTATTATTATTAACGGTGAAAAATAGTCTATTTTTACAAACTATTGCTACGTCCATTGTTCAAAATGAATATCAATCATACTTTCGTTTACTTTTTAAAAATAAATGAATCTGAATATACGTCGATTTTACTTGCACCATCCAGTAACTGACACTTCGATTTTGACTTCATTTTCGAAAATGTAATGATTTAAGTGGTTTAAATATAATCTGAACTATTTTCAATTCATTTCGTATACTTGACATTGTCTTTCATTCATTACCTTCAGACCAATGTTTTCGTTTAAAAAACAATGGCCCTTTCATGTGTGCATATCTAACAATTAGAATGCATCTCTTCTCTGGGTCGTGTAAAAAGATATGGGAGGAATATTGCAGAATCAAGTCTCATGACAATCACATGTTTCTGCCAACATCAAAACGTTGATATCATGATGATATCGAATAGTAAGTGTAGTATGACAGTTTTATTTGTACAATGTGTCACGTGGTAATGCAATCGGAAATGAATCCGCAAATCATGTAGTTCGCTACTTCGAATGCATTTTATACTTGTTCCGCATAAGATCGAAAATTATTTGATAAATCGATTGATCGTGTTTTCAAACAAACTTACAAAGTAAAATTGGTTTTGCTCTTGGGATCGAATGCGATTTATCATTAATATCTATCGAATTTTTGACCTAATTCGAGATTATGTCTCCCAATGGCATAATATTGTAATGCAGTAAAAACTTAAGCTTCCAAATTAAGTTACAAACCAAAGAAAAAAAAACGAAGAAATTGAGCACACTCAGTTTGGAATATCGTTACATTCGTATGTACAATTTCATTGAGATGAAAGAGAAAATCGTATTTTAATTGTCGAAATACTTTTTGGAAAAAACTTCTTCGGTGGCTCGGAAACTCAGTGAATGGATAATGTTTTGCTTGGATGGTTCTGCGCATCATGTCATAGAGACCCGTCATTACAATTTCTCTATTTAATGATTTTATTAATTTTTAAAGTGGTTGTGTACAATATGAAAATAATAACCAACCTTCGCATCAAAGGCTTAATTGCATAGTTTCAGTGCACATAATAACAAAATTCCTATCAACCGTTGGCCATTTTCCATTGAAAAAAATTATTATACATATTTGGAGCCAGAAGGAGACGAAGGGGGGTGTTTTGAATTTTATCCCCCCAGATTTTTGGAATTCCTTTCGATTTTCTAGGGTTTTTTGATGAAAGTTCTCCCCCAGTCATCAAACCGATTGGTTTCAAAAACCCCTTTTCAATAAAAAATAAGTCGGACATTTTTTACATAGACAAAATTGCCCTCCCTGAAATCTGACCTTGCACAGCTCTAACATTTTATGTTCATTTAGTTTGCAAAGTTCTTGAATTTAAAATTCACTGCAAAATTTGAGAATGGCTTCATCGTATTGAAGCAAATTGAAATACGTTCTCATTGCAGTGACATATCAACTGCCATGTTTCGAATCGAAAAAAAAGTCGATTCGTGCTAATATTTACATACATAGTGTTTATATTTGCTTTGTTCATGTTCTATAAATGCACTGAGACTCAATTAAATGCACTCAAATGAAAAAAAAGTGAATCGCAAGTAGAAAATGTATTTCCAAAATGGAAAACTTTTGAATATCCAAAATCATCTAGTATTTGTAATTATATTTATAAATACAAAAAGATTGTCTTGAAATAAAATGTTTTAATTGTAGCGCGGGTCTTCGATTCAAATTCAAATGGTAAGGATAAGTTTTTTACTGACACCGACCATTTTCGAAAATACTCTTTCGTTTTCTCTCTGTGTGCGTTGAACTATCATACACTTTGTAAACAGCGTGAATGTGACCAATGGACATTCATAGTTCATATAAATTGTAAAACCAATTTCAAGTCACTATTTTTGCCTTTTGTTTTCGTGATCGTATCGAAAAGGGAGAGAAAAGTGCAAAACTCAAATATGTTCATTCAAATGGTTGGCTACCATTCAAAAAAAAAAAACGATGGTTATGTATCAATTTTGTAAATGCTTTTTTCTCTCTATTTGACCATCGCCCGTGCATTGCAAGTTGTCATTCGTTTCGATATTTACATGGGAGTTAAAAAAATGAACACGAGAACATAAAGGGAAGAAAAAACAAACACAAAAGTTCGAATATATTATGAGCGGCGAGCTGTAGTTTCTTTTTTCAGCAAATGGAAATGAACATTTACTGTGCATTTTTATTTATTGTATCAATGTATTCAATGCCCACTTCATGTGCACAGAGGTGAAATAGAGCAGCAATTTTCCGTTTTCACTATCTCTTGTGTATTGATGATATATCCAACTTCAAAATCCCAATGTATCGCATTTCAATTTTCATGAATTAAAAATTTAAAGTACATAGATGACATGGCACATCGATCCATTCCAAAATAACGGAATATTATTTAATATTTGCAAATTGATTGTCGAACAAGAGAGAAAACGAGAAATGCAGCAACAACGACAACTAAAAGGCAGAAAGAAAAATTGATATACGGTTCGACGTATCTGTAAATTCCCTAATGTCTCTGCGCGTCAAATACTAGACAGCAACGAAACACATCTTCGATGAATTCACAATTGTGTTAATTATTTAGCATGCATATTTAATTACCTATCTAGCAGAAGATAAATTAATGAGAGAGAGAAAAATGATAGCACATTTAAGTACTTAAATTCCACACTAAGATATGTGTTTGATGTTTGTCAGTGCGAAAGTAATCAATTAAATTTTGCAAATCGACTGCACAATGTATTGATGAATGTGCATGCATCACATGAGTGCGATAAAGCAATTGACATTTCCACAATGTGCAGGAAGACGTGGATGTGATAATTGAAATTTGGAAAGGTTTGAAGGATTTATTATAATTTTAGCACGACAACATAAAGTTGGCCATTTCAATTACAGGCGATATGAAGAATTCGAATCGATATCCGATTATCTTTTCTACGAAATCGAACATATACAGAGCATTATATTTGCTGGATGAATATCGGTTGATATTTTCAGACACACAACGCAACACCAGTGCAAAGGTTCATTTTTGCATTCTCTTTTGTACGGACTTTCTTCATCCCTGTGTCGCTGTTGTATTTAACCCGCTCATCGGCTGAGAAACAGCGTCTGAAAATATCCAGCGATATTCATCCAGCAAATATACTGCTCTGAACATATACACTCTAAGATATTATCTAATGAACTAATAATTGGCTTATGCTTTGGTAAATAAATAATAGACCTATTGAGAATATTTAACCAATAGGATTGAAGTGCATCGAAAACGGTATCAATAAATAACAGTAATCATAATAATAAATGTTTATTTTCTGTAACAATGGCGTATGACGGCTCAAAAGTTTCTGTGCTAATTCCGTCTTACTTCCATCAACATTTGTTTTATTAGTCCAAAATGGTTAATATAAATTATATGAAACCACTTGGACACAGTCATGTCTTCATATATCCATTTATAGTCCATTTGCCATATCTATTTCTGTAGTTGGACATTTGTAGTATTTAAGAGTTCCGTTTCCGCCTATATATACACTTTACCGAAGTAATATTAACAACAAGTTTCCGTTTTCTTTTGTTTACAGAAGCATTTAGTTTGGAATTAACGAAAATCGTAATACCAACGTACAAATTTCATGGTGAGGCAGCGTTACTTGAATGCCAATACGAGCTGAGGCACAACAATCGAAATTATCACAACCGTTTCAATAACAATAGAGATTATGGCGGTCACAGATCAATACATGCATCAATATCAGACGATAACAATGGATTTGATCACATTCGAGATGACGACGGAAACACTAACACCGGCACTGTGTCTGACGAGGAAACTCTTTATTCGGTTAAATGGTACAAAGATAATGAGGAATTTTATCGATACGTACCAAAGGCCAATCCACCACAACAAAGCTATCGAGTGGATGGCGTACGCGTTGATGTAAGTACATTCAATCACTTGTATCTCTCTATCTACGCCTTCTTTCTCTCTACCTTGTTTCCTGTATCTCAGTTACACAGTTCCTTACAGTTCACAAAAGACATATTTAAAGAAAGGAAAACATCTAACGGTGACACCCTACTTGCAAATGTCATATCGCTTCCATTATTATTATCATGCCAACAGCTCCCGTTCTTATTTTTTCTCATTTCATGTTTAATATATTGCGTTTGGTATATATTTTTGATCATCTACTATCTTCAGTATGCGATTCTTTTCATCCAATTTTTTTGTCAACTTTTTTTTTCTTTTTGTAAAGTTTTCTCTTGCCTTGGCGTTCATATAAAAAAGATCTCTACATAAAAATACAATTTAGAAGCAGACGCAACTTTAATCTGATGCAATGAAGCATCAATTGAAAGAAAATAATGAAAAGGAAACGAAGCAGGAAAAGCTCTCATTCTCTGGTTCAAAGTCAAAATACATACAAAGAAAAAAAAACGATACCGACCGATAAACAAGCGAACAACGATTCGCCCGAATAATGCCAGTTCAAAAGAGAGAGAGACACACACAAATATACTATAGTACTTAAAATATTATTAAGATGGAAACATTTATTTCGTTTTATACATGATTTCTGCTATTTTAATCGTTTATGGAATAACCACAGACATTGGATAAAAAAAAAAGAGATTTTGCCGCTCGTCTGTGCAAATTCATCGTCTTTTGTGTACACCGCTTATCTTCGGCATCTTCTTAAAAAATCCAGCGTTTTTTCTCTACAGTTTTTTTGTTGTTGTTGTTATTGTATTTTTCGTTCTGAGAACGTTCTCATTATCTCTTTTCCTTGCAATTTTATATCCGCATCCAATTTATTTTACGGTTTACGAACAAAGTATCATATTAAATTAAATTTGTGTGCCACACAGTGGGCTCATCCAAATTCCACTTTTTCAATGTGATTTTTGCGGTGAAGGTTAACAAAAAGAAAGCGAAAAATGTTCAAGCGCCTTTTTTTCGTATGACTTTCATTAATGTGGGGTTATTTAAGAAAAGGAAAAAATAAATTAGGCTAAAGAAAGAGAATGTATATAACTGAATACTCAACGAACTGTTGCTGCATATTTGTCATTTGTGATATTTTCAGTCAAATGTATCAAATAATCTAGTAGTCTGATGTCGAAAATTTGGGTGTGCATCAGACCAGGTGTCAAAAAGTATCCATGCCTAAAAAGGTGGTAATTCGTCAAAAGTAGTTTTCAAATCCAAATCATGCAGCTCCAAAAAAGGTCTTCGCTTCCATGGTGGAGGTCATCGAAAGCAAGCTGTTTTGAGCAAAAAACTCTCAAAATGTTCCAAATAGCCAACCATTATGAAATATCCTAGCCGAATATTCAGTTAGGTCTAGGGGATATCCATGCGAATTAGAATTAGCACATTAGCAAAAAAATAGGGACACTTACATGAAGAAAATAGCGAAATTAGCAATAAATAGCAGAATTAGCACTGTACACGTATATACTTTAGTAAGAATTTATTCTTGAATTTATTGCAATAATTAATTAAAATAAAATTCACAAAACAAACGAATTGAATAGTGTTGAACTAAAATGTATCAAAATATGTAGTTAAATACGCTTTTTCCCATTTTTAAATAAAAATATATTCAATGGCACTTAACCAAGCACGTTCCATCTGTATTAGCTACAATTTACGAATTGCAATCGGAAATGTAGATTTGATGACAGATT